AATACTTAAATGGCTGGCCCAGTTCAGTTTTTGGCCATTGGCAATCCCAGCTGGCAACGTGACGTGACCTTGTTACATACCAACTGTTGATGCCTATTATGGCATTCCAGTTGAGTCCTTGGCCCAGAAATTCAGATTGCCAGAAGTTGTTTTTGCAGCATAACTTGGAGTTGCATGTTGGGACTATGTGAAAATCCGTCCATGCTGTCTTTGCTGGAATTAGCTGAAAATTTTAAATAGGGCTATTAGGCTGATTAACGAGAACCCCTGTGACAATGTCCTTCGGTGCACTTGAGGTTAATAGTTATTCAGAAAAATTAGCTTTGAAAACCTTCTCAAACACAGATATGCATGCATATGTTGATCCTCCTCCACATCATACCACCCTCTGTCCACTCACCAGCATGACATCCAACAGCCCCTGCCCAAACATCACCCACCACTACCACTTAACTTTGATATGCCTACTCCCAGCTGTTATGGCTGCAGAACATTTAATCTACAGAATATTTCTGGGAAAAGGGGTTGCAGAGGCCACACAGTGTTCTCTGCTGTCTGCAAGCATTCCTAGAATGGTGTCTCCTGTTTCATAACAGGAGACTCTTTATCCATGAAATTATAGGGCTGAACCTGTTTTTTTTATGCTCAACCAGTCTCGGAAAGTGTTCATGAACCCGATTGAAAAACGTGGGCCCTTACTTCAAAAGCACTTAACTGCATTTAAAATATTCTGGAACATGTTCATTCTGAGAAAGATGTTGTAGAAAGGCAAGTTTTTTTTTTTTTTTTTTTTTTTTTTTTTTCCTGAATAAAATCTCAAAAATGGTAAAAATTGACCATATCTTTGGAGAAAACAAAGTTGATATTTCAGGTTGACTCCTGTTTCTCTCTCCATACTTGCTACCTAACCTGAGTATTGATGGGGTTTTCTGTTTTTATTTTGGCTTTCCAGCATCAGTATTCTGCTTTCTGTTTTCTACTTGTGCAGTCTCCTTTACTACTGTCTCTTTTTGTTTATCCACTGCTCCCAGATACTGAAAAGTGTCGTCATTCTTCATTCTTTTAGACCAGCTACCATAATGCTCTCAACCTCTGGACCTCCTCCCTCTGTCTGCCCTTGTGGCTTATCATTTCCTTTTCTGCTATCAAAGTTTTCATAATGACTCTCTCTCAATTTTGTGCTTGCTTGTTGCTTTTTTTTTCTCCTCCATATGACTGCTGCTGAAATGTAAGTTGACTTATCCGTGATGCTTAGGTGAATCTAGAACTACAACAAAGGAAGGGTACCTTTATACAGCGAAGGAAAAGAAATGGTATTGGGGAAATTGATGGGATTAAAACCCGATAAGTCCCCAGGGCCCAGAGTACTTAAGGAAGTGGGCCTAGAAATAGCTGATGCATTGGTGACCATTTTCCAGCATTCTGTAGACTGAGTGTGTTCCAATAGACTGGAGAGTAGCTAATGTAACTCCACTCCTGAAACAAGGAGGGAGAGAGAAAATGGACAATTATAGGCTGGTTAGCTTGACATTGGCGATGAGGAAAATGCTAGAGTCAATTATGAAGGATGTAATAATTGAGCATTTGGAAAGCAATGTCAGAATCAGTCCTAGTCAGCACAGATTCACTAAAGGGAAGTCATGCTTGACAAATCTTGAGTTTTTTTGAGAAGGTGACGAGTAGAGTAGACAATGGTGAATCAGTAGATGTTGTGTATTTGGACATTCAAAAGGGTTTTGACAAGGTTCCACACGACATTAGTAAGGAAAATTAAATTCATCGTATCAGAGGTAACGTATTGACATGGATAGAGAACTGGTTGGCAGACAGGAAGCTGAGAGTTGGAATAAATGGGTCCTTTGCAGAGTGGCAGGCAGTGATGAGTGGGGTATCGCAGGTTTTAGTACTGGGACCTCAGCTGTTCACAATGTACATTAACAATTTGGATGAAGGAATTGAATGACGTATCTCCAAATTTGCAAATGACACTAAGCTGGGTGGCAGTGTGTGCTGTGAGGACAATACTAAGAGGTTTCCGTGTGACTTGGACAGACCGGCTGAGTGGGCAAAAACTTGGTAAATGCAATATAATGTGAATAAATGTGAGGTTATCCACTTTGGTCACCAAAACAGGGAGGCAGATTATCTGAATGGTGGCAGTTTAGGTAAAGGTGAGGTGCAATGAGATCTGGGTGTCATGGTGGAACAGTTGCTGAAGGTTGGCCTGCAGGTGCAGCAGGTAGTTGAGGAAAGCTAGTGGCATGCTGTCCTTTGGAGCAAGAGGATTTGAGTATCGGAGTAAGGATGGGCTTGCTGCAGTTATACAGACCTTTGAGGCCACACGTTGAGTATTGTGTGCAGTTTTAGTCTCCTAGTCTGAGGAAGGACATTCTTGCTATTGAGGCAGTCCAGCAAAGGTTCACCAGACTGATTCCTGGGGTGGCAGGATTGATGTGAGGGAAGTCCAGTTGGATTGGGATTGTATTTGCAGGAATATAGAAGAATGAGGGGGGGATGTCATAGAAATATGAAAAGTCCTGATGGGACTGGATGAGTTAGATGTGGGAAGAATTTTCCCAGTGTTGGGGGAAGTCCAGAAAAAGGGGTCACAGTCTAAGAATAAGGGGTAAGCCACTAAAGACTGAGATGAGGATGAATTTCTTCACTCGGTTGTGAACCTGTGGAATTCTCCCACAGGAGGCTGTTGGGGCCAGTTCACTAGATATATTCAGGAGGGAGCTGGACATGTCTCTTGCGGCTAAAGGGATCAAGGGGTATGGGGAGAGGGCGGGAGTGGGATACTGCGATTGCATGATGTTATTGAATGGTGGTACGGGCTCAAAGGACTGAATAGCCTGCTTCTGTGCCTGTTTATTATGTTTATTCTGGGAAACTGTTATAAATTTTATGTTTAGGTACTGTTATTGAAATATATATGCAACGTCTTGTATGCCCATGAGAAAATTGACAACGCAAACTCAATTGTGGTGAGTGATTGTGGTAGAACAGTGATACTGGGTTAAAGCATGACTGTCTAGAAAGCACTTACAATTAGTTATAATTCATGGGTTAAACAAAGTGGCTGATAACATGGAAAGAGCTGTGGAACTGTCTCAATATTTACACATCATTGATCATCACGTGAACAACTTTTTTTAAAAAACTGAAATGACTTATTTAACACTGATCTGCACCAAACAGCAGTAACATTTTGAGATCTGGGAACTGGAGAATGAAGTTCAACCAAGAAGTGTTCAGGAATATCAAAAACCACCGAACAGTAATGAGGATGTGGATAAACAAACTGAGTATTGGAGAGACAAGAGAACATGAGACACAAGAACAAAAGTAGGCCATTCAGCCCATAATGTCTGATGTATTGTTCAACGAGATCATGGCAGAATGGTGTCTGATAGCCACTGGGGATTCAAGACCCAAAGTTGCCATGGAATTCCCATGAGTACTAAAGGGTCAACATTGTCGTAAATAATAAAACGGTGTTGTTAGAAGCATCCTTAGTCTTTTGCACTTGCTTTAATCAAAATATATTAGCACCAGGGAAAATTCAACTGAAAGGTGGTGTTGGGCAGATTATCTTTTATCTCATGAATATTCAACAATTTTAGTTTTTAGGGGAGTAAAATCAAAGCTTTTTTTTTAAATGTAGTGGCCAATGAAGGGCAGTAATTGACTTAACAGTGCGTTTTCAAGATGAAGTTAAACAAATAGTTCTAATTTTCTTGAGCATGAAAAATGAAACATTCTGCAGATTTCACTAGAATATGCATTGAACAACATCCTATGAATTTTTGGTAACACATTGGACAGCATCTGCAAAGTTCACTTTTTATTCACACAAAACAGAAGATTAATTTAATGCAGACGATAAAGGCATCGTGACACAGGAGTTAGCGGTAGCATCGGGCAGGTACTGTAGTGTAAGTTGCATGGGACCTGCATTTGGATTAATCAGAGCAACTTTTTTTTTTCCAACCAGTCCTCTATATTTGTAGGATTGAATAGCTCAAAAACCTGTATGCCCCTTGTCTCAAAAGGTTTGAGCAAAATTTTCTTCAAGGTAGCCAGCTCAGCCACAAGCCTACTTGCTTAATAAAGAGTTGGATATTTCTACAACTTTATATTTATTTGAGCATTATTAAAGTTTCCTTTCCCAGGTATGTCAATTTTAAATTGACAACATTTCCATAATATGCCCAAAAGCAGGTTCTGCTTGTTAGCTTGATCAGGGCAACATTATTTTGTCTTCAAGCTAATTACTTAGTGGGAATTAAATGTCAACCATATGGTTAAAGTAGGAGTGTCTTATGGATTTTAAATGTTTTACTATTAGAGGCTGTTTGTAAATATGCAAACTCATCATTGATCACTCCATGATAATTAGCAAGAATTTCTCTTTTTATATGGTCATAATCCGAGTTCATTTCATTTCGGCCCTAAGGGCCATTTAGTAGACTTAGTTAGCAGTTAAACTATTAGAAGCGTGGAAAGAGGAAGGGCACTTTCTTTCACATGTCACTGTATCGGTTAGAATTTTGGCCTCTAGACGTTTTTGCCCTACAATGTTTGGTCAGAATGGGTTGAAATGTCTGGAGGATGGCAGTGGTTCCAGTCGCTGGTTTGCTGTACCACTTCAGCAAATTAATATCAAACACTTGGTGAGAACGGAGTCACATAGTCCAAACTGGAAAGGGTTAGCAAGTTTCCGTTTGCCTGGAGAACACAAGTTAATTATTTGATTTCCTTTAAAAACAGGCAAATTACCATTTAGTGAATGAAATTTCATATGTGGCTGTGATAAACTAGAGCTTTCAACGGGTGAGTTGTTAGTCCAGTGGTACAACTAGCATGTACCATCCCCATCAATATTTTTTTTGACTTAAAATCTGGTTAGGGCTTGCTTTAAGTAAATATTCTTTTTGTGAAGTTTGAGTACAACATATGGGTGATATTTTCATTCAACATTTTTTCCTTCTTTGCAGGATAACATTTTGCCATCTGCCCTTCCAGAGTAAATGGTTGTATGTTGGCACAGAAAGAGGCAATGTACATATTGTCAACGTGGAGTCTTTCACACTCTCAGGCTACGTTATTATGTGGAATAAAGCCATTGAACTGTGAGTGCCTCATTTTTTTGTTGTGCACGGTTGATAAAGTTTCTCTCAAACATTATGCTTACTAATGTGCAGTGGATAATGTGCTCATTTTCTTACAAAAGATCAACAATTTTCTGTCAAATGGTTTGGTAGCATCTTTGGCCCCAGTATAGATGCTTTAATTCATTGTGATAAATAGCAATTATTTTTGACAGTTAACTTTTTTGTACTTGTACCTAAATATAGAATTAAATTCGGCTCAAACACATTGGAAAAACTCTGCCATTCGGGACGTTGTGAGTGCTTATATCATTGGGGTATGGCGGTCAAGCCAATCAGTTCAAATACAGACATCTTAAGTGCCCTTTAAAATTAATGTTCTAATTGACAATTCTGAGTTTTAGTCACCATTTTTTATTTTCTTTGTTCTGATCAAACTGGAAAGGAATTTGCACGTGTATTTTGTAAAGGCCAAGACCAGTTTTTAAGTTTTTTTTGATACTCAGTGTGAGAAAGGGCAGGGAACTCTGGAAGGTTACCAGTGATTCACAAGTAAAATTAAAGGCATGGATCTTGTTTAAATTCCAGTTTTATTAAATTTAAGTGCAGAAAGTTTGTGCTGTTTTGTATCTATGCAGGGAGTAATAAAGTTTGTGTATCATGTAAATTTTGACTTTACTTCGTCCTTAAATATTAAATTAACTTCACTGCAAAATTTCTTTGAGTAGGGTTTTTAACCTCTTTAACTTGTTTGCCATCCAGTTACATCATTGGATGATGTACACTTCAGTTCGTAGCTGTCTTGGTGCCGCAATAACAATTAATAGTCACATAAAAAATGCATACTTCAATTTTTAAATTTTCAATGGACTGAGCCTCAGCAATTTTTGTGGAAGAGTTCTAAATTTCACTACCTTTTTTTTTAATATGAAACAGTTCTTCTAACCTTATTAACCTAACTCTAATTTCATGATCATACGACTCTTGTTCTAGTCTCATCCATCTAACCAGAGGAAATGCTTTGCCTCTATCTTCCCTATAACATCTATACAGTTAGTTCTAATATAACGCAATAGTTCCATTCTTGTGCAATCTTGTGTTTAAAAGAAAATCACTCGAGCTGTGGCCTTTAAACTAATGGGGCTGGAATCTCGTTATAGCCAATACAGGTGAGGGAAGTTTGCATTCTACAAATTCTTCAATCTCATTAAAGCCAATTCCCATTGAAGAAACACCACGTTATTAGCAGAACCATGTGTAGTACAAAATAAGTTTGAACACCTCCATTACATTGCCTCTAATCTTCTACACTGTTGTTTTGTATTGTCCTTTCATGATAATTTTACAAGCTACATAGATGGTTCTTGTTTTAGATGGCCAATGAAGCAGCTGTGCCAACAACATACTGGAAAGACATGGTTGCAGAGGGGTTGGACTTATGTTCAGATGTTTATCTATTCACCAATAATTTATTTTTTAATGAACTCAAGTTCAAGTCTTGCCTATGTTTGGGTGTGCAAGTCATGCCAAATATCTGATGACTTTGAAAAGTAAGCAGCAAGTCTGTCGAGGAGATGAGGCAAATTTAAAAGTTACATCAGTACATTCAGCATCTAATATGGTTACTTTGTGTAGTCAAATTTTATTTTTGAAATTAGATCCATGGCAACAATGTAAATTGGCATCATTATTGTGGACCAGTGAGTGTTCTTATTTTTTACGTCATCAAAACCCCTTTTACTGAACTCTTTAATAACCAATATGGACATAAGTGATGTGGGCACAGATCATTCAGCTCATTTAACCTGTTTTTGACTGAGCTATACCTTAATTCTACGTCCCTTAATATCTTTCCCTTAAAACGTTGAGGCTCATTCAGAAGGGCTAGGTGTGAAAACATCTCTCGTGTTAAGGCAGATATCCCTAATATTAAATGGCCAGTTAAATTTTTCCAAATTGTAACACATTTCGTTGTATGGCAAATGCATTTAACTAAGTACACTGATCCAGAAGCAGCAAAATGCAAGCCAAAAGAAGCGTAAGAATATTTAGTTGGTTTTGTGTGGTATGTTAGGTGTAACACAATGAATGCATGAAAAGTCTAAGATTTTTTCCTTGGCAGGTGAATAAGATCTTCTCTCAGCCAGAACAAAAGAAACTTCCTTACTCTCATTTTTTTGAACTGTCATAATTTGCAAGATTGCATGAGGAATACAGCGCAGATATATTTGAACTACAACTGGTAAAGCACTAGGATTCAAGTTGCAGGAAACTTGCTTTTTGTACAAGCCACACCTTTCTGATATCCTTTTGAACTTGTTACTCCTTCTTCTCAGACCTGTGACCATCCTTCCTGCAACTCCGTTTTTGAAGCCTTGCGGTCTGGTTTCTAACCCTTGCTAACATTGAAATGTCCAGATTGAGTTATGGCATTCTCTGACTGACTGACAATGGTGCTTTGATCTCTGTGTCCTTTGACACAGTTGACTTAACTATCCTATCCTTCCTGTTCTTCCTCTGCTGCCCAAAATAGTGAAACTATCCTCACTTGGTTCTCCTATTACCCTATATGAACTTAACCATAACCACTTTATCAAAGCATCCATCCAAGGCTGCTCCTTATTTACATATTTTGCCATATCATCCCCTGACATGATCTTAACTTCTGCTTGTATTCCAATAATCTTCAGTTTTTTACCTGTGTAATTGAACCTCCCTTCCACCCTGTTTGATCCATCAGACTAAACTGGACATTTTGCAACCTCCGTAACACCCTCCTTTTTGTAGCTAAACTGTGTTTCCAACTCAATGTTCTTCACAAAGATAACCTCCCTTCTTACCTTGGTCCATTTGCTCCTGAAACACTCATTCCATGCTGCTATTACCTACAATTTTATTCATTTTTGACAGGCACTTCATCCTCTACTCTCCGTGAACTCAAGTTTGTCAAAAACCCATATGCAGATACCCTATGTCAAATGCTAAGACAAGTAATGGCCTGATAGTATAATCGCTAGACTATTAATCCAGAAACTCAGCTAATGTTTTAGAGACCCCAGTTCGAATCCCACTGTGGTAGATGGTTCTAAGAATCGAACCATTGTCGATTGTCAGAAAAACCCATTTGGCTCACTAATGCCCTTCAGGGAAGGAGATCTGCCATCTTCATCTGTTCTGGCCTATGTGACTTCAGACCCACGGCAACATGGTCGACTGTCAACTGCCATCTGAAATGGCCGAGCAAGCTGCTCACTTCAGGGGCTGCTACGGAGGGTAGTAAGTGCAGGCCAGCCAGTGACACTCATGTTCCATGAGTGAATAAAATAAAAATTATGCCTCACTTGCCTATCGCCTCTAACTTTGCTGACCTACATTAGCTTGTATTCCCCCAACATCCCACATTTAAAATTGTCATGCTTCTTCAGCTATCATTAGCAAGTCAACCCATGTTTTTCAGCCTTTTTCAATACTAACATAACCTGTCTCCTCTGTTACCTGACCTGAGTTTGTCTTTCTCCACTCCCTTTTGCCCAAACCATCTTGGATCAATGCTTCAGAACTCCCTCTCCAAATACTGATGTTCCCTCTTTTATTTCTTAAAATGACCTACGTGACCAAGCTGTTGGCCATCCACATTTCTCACCCCTTCCTTACTGCCCCTTTTTACCTCTTCATGCTGTCAAGTGCCTAGTTTTTTTTTTTTAAAAGGTGCTACATAAATGCAAGTTTTCTGAGATTGCCCAGTCAATTGGCCTGTCTGAATGCTGCCTGGCTAACTTTTGTCGATGGTTGGTTGATCAGTTGGATACTGTCTGCTGTTATTTCATTGCTTGGATTTGGTTTGTAATTTTGTGATTGGTTATAAGCTACATTCAGCAGTTTAATTTAGCTGAATGAATTCATTCAATCAGCCTGAGAAACTAGCTGAATTAAGTTGTTGTAAAAGTTGCTCCTTGTGCAAGTTGTAATCAATTTGCTAGTTTAGTGCAGTTTGAAATCTTTGCACAACCATGTTTTATTCCTTTCTTTTATAACTAAATGAATGTTTTTATTACAGATCGTCAAAAACTCACCCAGGATTAATTGTACACATCAGTGACAACCCTATGGATGAAGGCAAGGTATATATGTCTAGTACAATGGGTAACTGCTGAAAATTGGCCCCAGTGACAATGGATTATGAAAAAATGTAGTGGCTGAAGATTTACTCAGGTGCTCTGTCAGTTGTAATGCAGTTATTGAACATTCAACTCTCCAGTCTATCCTGTTCTTGGACGATACTGTAACCAAACTGAATCATTTTTGTATTCGGACTATATATTTATGTTTTAAATTATTAATTAAGTTTACATTCCTTGTACTATGTAGTTCATAGCTCCTGGTGTATTGCTTTTCATTGTACTTAGCTGATTGTTTTAAAACAATCAATTTCTTTTTGCCTTGATCTGTATGAAAAGGTATGTAGATTTCAAGTCCATGTTCTTTTTTTCTGACTGTATCAGTTGTAGGTGGTGTGCGTCATTTGACAGATTGTTGCAATTGTTCTGTAATTTTGCTTTAAAGTAACAACATAATCTGAGAACATGATTGGCATGGACCTGTTGGATGAAAGGGTCTGTTTCCATGCTGTAAAAGACTGACTCTAAGGCCACATAAACCGGTTCCTTGTGATTGTAAGAATTGTATGGGTAAAATTTTTGCAGTGCAATTTTGGTAGTGGAAATGCTTCCATCAAAAACATTGGGCATATCCCATTGTTAAACTGCCTTAGGTTTTTGACATCAAGAGTAAACCTGAAATGTCAGGGAAAGTGCAAATAAAAGCCTGCACAGGCATTTAAGAGGGAGGAACTGAAGCAGATGAGTATTAGTAGGTAAATGGTGATGGGGATTAAAGGCAGATAAATCATGGGATGTGGCAGAGACCAATACAGTTACAACATTTAAAAGACGTTTTGGACAGGTACGTGGATAGGAAAGGTTGAGGGATATGGGCCAAATACAGGTAATTGGAACTAGTTCAGTTTAGGAAACCTGGTTGGCATGGATGCGTTGGGCCAACGGATCTGTTTCCATGCCGTATGACTGTCTGTCTGTCTGTTTCCAAGTTTTTGGGTCTTATGTCACTGATGCTGTAGAATTTCAAACAAACAGCTCCTTCTGTGCTAATCGATAGACCATTTTCAGTATTTTAATTAAATCACAAGCCTCAAAATCTGTCCAAATCTTCATAGAACTAGGAACAGCATATCAGAATTACTTCTTTCAAAGTCAGAACTTCAGTATTGTTGAAAGAAAGCACATCTTGTCAAAGCTTTCTGTCTTGCTTGCATCATGGAGAATGCAGAAATTAATGATTGACTGTTAATTGCCATACTTTTAAATTTGAACCCAGCCAGACTGACTCTGACTCTGACTCTGGTCAGCATATTATTAATTGCTGTATTCTCCATGGCAATTCCTCTACCAATCAGAGTCCACTTGGTAACTAATCAGCACTTGGCTTGTACATTTAAATGTCGCTTTCCCCCTTTATTGGTATTTTTGCAAATTGTCTTGATGAAAGATGAAAAGGTTTAACAAAATGACTTTTCTTTTTGGCAATATAGCAACACTGTTAAACTTAGCATGACAAGCAACCATTTTTGTTCTTGGTTATGAAGGCTGTACCAAACACCCGTGATTATACCCCATATGCAACTTGAATTCATATAGCATCTTTAGAATAAGAAAATATCCCAAGGTGCTTTACAGGAATGTTATAAAACAATATTTAACACTGAACTATCCACTTAGTGGGATAATAGGACTGAGAGCCAACAATCTGTTTGAAAGGGGTAGTAGGAACTGCAGATGCTGGAGAATCTGAGATAACCAGGTGTAGAGCTGGATGAGCACAGCAGGTCGAGCAGGAAAGCTGACATTTCGGGCCGAGACCCTTCTGAAGAAGGGTTTAGGCCCGAAATGTCAGCTTTCCTACTCCTCTGCTGCTTGACCTGCTGTGTTCATCCAGCTCTACAATCCATTTGAAAAGCTAGTTTTAAGGAATTTCCAGAAAGAGGCAAGGGTGTTTTGGGAACATCTTCAGAGATTAAGGCCTGAACAACTGTCGTCAAGACTGCCAATGGTAGAGTGTTAAAAATTGCAAACGTGCAAGAAACTGGAATTCGAATCCTAAAACACAGATGGGAGGTGAGGTACCACTTTGAGAGACTGTGGAATGGGCTCCCATTACTGGCATTGATTCTGAAAAAGGTTGACAAAACACTTTAAACTTGGGAAGATTGGCATTTAAGGAACATGGGGAAAGGAGTAGGCCATTTGATCCCTTGGGAATGATGGAGCAGGCAACTGACTGACTCATAGCTGATTATCTACATCCGTGCCATTTTCCCATGCTATCTTCATACCCCTTGATGTCATTAGTATTTGGAAATCTTTCCCTGTCTTGAACAGATTTACAGACTTGTAGTTTTGAGGTTCCGCAGCCCCCTAGATTGGGGATATCCTAAGTTTCGCTAGCCTCTGAGTGAAGAAATTACTCATTTCAGTTCTAAATGGCTCTCCCATTATTCTGAGACTCTGTCCCTAGGTTCTAGGTTCTCCAGTCCTTTCTGCATTTACCCAGTACAGCCCTGTAAGAATTTTGTACGTTCCAGTGAGATCCCTTCAAATTTATTTAAACTCAATAATACAAACCCAGTCTCCTCAGGTCAGAGCAAACATCCCAGGAATTGGTCTAGTCAGTTTCCACTGCACTTCCTCTGTGGCAATTATCATATCCCTTTGGGTACAGGGATCAAAGCTGCAATATTCCAAATAGTGTAACTCAGGTTCTATACAGTTAAGCAAGACATCTTTATTGTTGTATTCAAACCTCCTAGTGGTAATGACCAACATATAATTTGCCTACTAATTACTTGTTAGCTTTCAATGATTTATTTATAAGGACACAGTTTCCTTTGGACATTAACACTTTCCAGTTGGTCTTGCTGTCTCACGCCTGGGTGATGCCTCCCCGACTCGTGCTCTCTCTCACTCTCTAAGTACTTTGTGCCTCCATTTCCCCCTATCAAAATGCATAACCTTGCATTTTATCCACATTATATTCCAACTGTTTTGTTCTTGCTTGATGTTTCAGTCTGTCCTCTGCACCTTTTTTACAAAATACATTCCTGCCCAGTTTTGTCATTCATAAACTTGGCCATTTACATTTGGTTCATCTGTCCAAGTCATTGATATAGGTTGTGGAAAATCTTGGGTTAAAGCACTAATCCTTGAGACCCCACGAGTCACAACCCTGCCAACCCGAGAATGAACTACTTATTCATACTGTTTTCTTTGTTACCCAATCTTATACATGATAGTGTATAAGGTCCACACACATGCAGTAATTTTGTTTACCAAGGGAAAAATGCTTAACAGCTAACATTATAGAAAGACTGAATCAGGCTATGAGATACTGACCATGACTTGCAGTTCCTGCAATGAGTGTTTTGGCACAAGAAGTTAGTTGGACGGCTGGGTTGTCACACATGCCTTCGAACAGCTAAGCATATTTGTACATTGTGCAAATGTTCACATGAAACCAGTTAGGCTTGGAGTTAGCATTAAAGCAACCCCATTGATGGCTTCTCTGCAAGAGTTGAAGCAGTATCACAGATGTGAAAACACTGATTCATAAACTTTTAAAACTATCAGCAATCAACAAACTTATGGAAAAAGTGTACCTATGGGCTTCGAGCACGCCAGCCGCTGCCTCTATAGTCTCGGACACGAGTTGTCTAGAGTCTTTGGCATGGTTCCTGCAAGTGTCGTTTTTTATTTTTTTTTTGGTGGGGTGGGTGGGAGCAGTTGTTTTGCAGGTGGCATGATGTAGATACCTAATCTGATATAAAAATTACAGGTTGTAAGCTTGTTCTAAACTATGAAAAGATGGAAAAAATAAATATGTGGAGGGAGTTGTTAGTCAGGATAGCCTGAAATGTGTTGAATTGGCTGGGAATTCTAATCTTAAAAACTGGAAAAACCCTGTAATGTACATCATTATAGTGCCATTGTTTGATTAAAAATGTTAAATTCATGTCCTCCTGTCTGTTTAGGCAACATTTTTTTTTATTGAAGAGTAGAGCGTTCTCCTGGTGTCTTTGTCGACATTTGTCCTTCCATCAGCACTTACCAGAAACAGATTAACTGAGCATTCGTTTCATTGCTGTTTGAGACCTGGCTCTGCAAGTTCGTGCAGTTTTTTTTTTTTTTTTTTTTTTTTTTTTTTGAAGCAAAATTAATTGACTGTAAAACATTGAGAGTCTGTGCTATATGAACAGTGCTATATAATGCAAACTGCTTAATATTTCCCTTCTATTAAAAGAAACTTATCAATTTTCTCCAGTTCAAGGATTGTCCCACATCCTGTCTTCCTCCTCGCAATTTTATGCATCTTTGTTAACAGTATGGCTTTTCTTCTCCTTCATATTTTTGAATAGCCTGTCAACTGACTTCATTCCTGTCATTAAGGAGTTTAATGAAATAACAGGGTGTGTAGGTATGTATTCATGTGTAGAATAAAGTATTTGGAACTTGAATTAGAGTAGTCATCTTCATCTAACCCAAAACTACCCTGGTGAGGCATGATATGGCCTCACTTGACCTGACACCAAAGCTAACCTAATTCTTGTCAGCCTCTGCCTGTTGGTCAACAATTCCAAAATATCTGAACTCAATGTGACCTTAACTTTCTTGGTCATTTCCAGTCCCTCCATACCTGGGATCAATCTAATGAGTCATCTCTGAACTGCCTTCAATGCCAAAATATTTTCCCATGGATAAGGAGACCAAAACTGTTCACAATATTCCCAAATTGGTCTGTCAAGTACTTGTATTGTTCTATCAAACCCTCACTAACTGTTATGCTCCATTACCTTTGAAATAAAAGTCAACATTCCAATTGCCTTCCCTAATTACCCGTTGACTTTGGGTGCTAGCTTTTTGTGATACATGAAGGCGGACTCCCAAATCCCTCTGTTCCATAGCTTTCTGCAGCCTTTCTCCATTATAATCGTATTCAGCACCTCTATTCTTCCTGCCAAAGTGCAAATCTCACATTTTCCCACTATATTCTG